TGCCCTGCCAGAAATTCAAAAGCACCATGAACTTGCTACTAAACAACTTCCAAAAGAGGGAACTTTTGAGAGTCTCTCATCAACATCATAGAAATTGATGTTGATGAGAGTCAAAATCGCCAACATCAATGGGAAAATGCGATGAATTGAATTGAGAAGCAGTAAATTCGGTTTTAAAGGTGGCGAAGGAGGAGGAGGTACAAATCTGAGGAAGAAAAAGTGGATGTGAGTGAAGTGCTAGCTTTTAATAAAAGGCTAAGTCTCTGTGTCCTGAAACACGTTGTTTTTCGATATTTAACAAGCAGAAGGGAGTGCCATCGACAGCTTTTAGAGTAGGTAATAGCTCCCGGCAACGTATTATCACTAGAGTCACTTTCGTGTGCTTCAGCCTTTCAGCGAGGATGAAATGTGAAGTTGTTTTGATTCTTCACTTGAAGAGGCCAAGAAAGATGACGATGACAAGAACGGAAAAGGAAAGCATCATCTCATTTTGGCTAAAAAGCGCTAAAAATTTCACTGACTGAGCTGATTTTTCTTAAATGAGCTTTATTTGAGGCAGGGACAAAAAAATATTGATGTTATACATAAAAGATTAAAATATTAAAAAATTTATGAAAAATTAGAATAGCAGGGGGGATTCTGTCCAGGAAGTTATATACATCCCTATTCAGTACCAGATCCGTCAATACGACGGTTTATGTGTAAAAGGGTAATGTGAAATAAATGAGTACATATTTGTGTATTGGGCTAATTTTGTACTCAGATTTCCTATGACGTCTGCCGATCTATCACAGCAATGCCGAAATCGCCTTTACAATTTGCAGACGCTCACTATGTTCTTCCTCCGAAAACTACAACAAACACCCTACATATGAAGGAGCAAAAAGAAACCTGAATAGTGCAGTAAGCATCGTGCATCGATGTTTCAGGTTGTTGCTCGTCGCAAATTGCGGCGGAGCGTTGTAGCCGCCTACTGATCGTACTGGTATCAGACTGCTGCCGCACAACGCTGCTAGCACTGAGCATCGATTTCGTATAACTGCTGTTTAGTTTATTCGGCCCACTATTGGTACCACCGGCCATTCCCTGAAAAATTAACAAAAATTTTGGACAGGTAAAATTTAGATTCGCGACGCGTTACAAGCAAGCGGCAAATTATCGAAGAACATTAGAGGTTCAAACACAGTGTACCTGAGTAACTTGGATTCACGCAAGTTTGGCAACTTTTCATTA